GTTGATACAGGGTTGCCCTTTTACCACCATGGAGTCCAGCCTGTCAGTCGACTCACTGTGCACACATAACAACTCTTAAATTTACACATTTTTGATCTACGTGATAACCTATCGCTACCACAGCTTACATTTCTGCTATAATCAGATTTATCCAAAGCACTTAATGTGCATTCATTCATTTATTCATTCAACTAACAATGGTGTTCTGCTACATGCAAAGCACTGCTCTAACCACTGGGAGCAATGAGGGTTCGATGTTATGTCGACAGGAGAAGGCAGGGGTCGACTGCCAACCTTGCAATTATTCAACGACCCAATCTGCCTTCTGACTCACAGCCGATACATCACTCAATACTGATTGGTTAGTGCAAAAGGACACAAAATAACAACCCCTCCCAACAAGAAACCAACTGAAATGAACATTAATCTATAAAGTAAAATATACAGTCAGTAAAAAAGCAACTTCCTCTTAGCGCCATTTGGCAGGTAGCCTAGTACAGCTAAGTCTAAGCTAAGTAACTCTTCAATCTGGCATTATTTGGGGCATTGAGGATTTCACCAAGTTTAAACAATATTTAAAGAGTTACTCCACTGAATCAGAAGACTAAGCTGAGAGTCTCAGACTTTGTTTTAAATACCAAAGTATATCAACTGCTCCACTGAGCTACACAAAGCATCAGACATATCATTATGTATTCATTAATATTTATTAATTTGTTTGAATCATTGAATAATTAATGAATCAATCCGTGTAAATTAAGTGTCAATTGTTTAAGACGCTCAAGGAATGAACTCTGAAGCAGAAGTACTGCGTGTGTGCATGTGTGTGTCCATGTTAGTGACTTCCATAGAATTTCGGGAACGATACTTTTTTCAGTACCAATTTTTTAAAATTTTGTTTTAACAAAAAGAAAATAGACCTGGCAGCAGCTGGAGAAACAGCTTTTACTCTGCTCACTTTAAAATAATGATATAGAACTAAATATCTGCACAGTATGGGACTATATAAAAACTATTAATAACTAGCTACTGGCTAGCTAACAAGCAGCACAAAGTCTGTGTAGTTAAAAGCTTATGGTTTAAAAAAAAGAAGAAGCTAGGCCTCTCTCTGTGCATAATTGTAGTGTTTTTCCTGCACGCCTCCGTGACATGTAACGTTAGACAGCCAGCTGCGTGCCTATTGGCTGATGAGTTTTACTCTGTATTCAAATTTGGAACCAAATGACTTTGGTTCCAAATGGTTGGTTTGGATTTTGGTTTTGGTGTGCTACCAAGATTTTCAGTGGCCTGATTTGGCCGTCTACGTAAAATTTCAGGAGGCGCCACAGCATACAGACTGTGGTTAAATGCAAGGCAAAAATGGGTAAATTAAGAAAAAAACAAAGCTGCTGCAGCAGAACATATCAACCAAATCAGAACGGACATGTCAATAGGCAGCTCTGAGTTAGGGCAGACACTAACGAAGACTTAAGATATACAGAGTGAAAAGTGTTCGTGACCAACATGATCCAGTTACCATTATTGACCATTGTGCAAGTCGATAACCATTTAGTGTGAGAATTACATGAAACCAATCAACAAGCCAGGCTAGACATCCACCCACACAATTACATCGAGTAAGGGAATGAGAAAAGCACAAGCCTTTGAAGTTGATGCAAGAAAGGAACAAAAGCAACAAAATCACACACAAAAAAAACAGAAGAATTAAAGTGTAAAGGTAAGGAAAGTCAGCAATGAAAACAAAACAATACAAGCTGATTATTTATTTTTTTCTACCCACCCACTTTTAAAGGAGCTGCCAGGGAGGTACCTTCAAGCTGAATTGCTGAGAATGCAGCAAGAGAAGACATTTCTTTCGTTAATCAATAATGTATTCTTTTCAATACAGGCAAGTGATGCATTATTCAACAAAGGCTGAAAGATGTATGGAAGGGACTAACACAGGGAGATGCTGCAACATTTATCTAATTAACAAGCAATAATGTAAGACAGAGAGATGGGCAGAGACATGGGTGGAGGGACAACACAAGGCAAAAGAATAAAAGCAGAAAAGAAAGAAAAGAGAAAGATTGGGCGTAAATAGCGTCTTTTTTTTTAATGGGGAAGCTCTCTGATAGTATTCTCTAGAGGTTGATGTGGAAACGGCTTCGACTGGAAGAAGAACTCTGCACCAAGAGATTTAGCCTCCAAGTGACGGGCAAAGGAAACACACACACACACACACACACACACACAAAGTGAAAGTATATTCAATGCACGCAGAGGCATTAAAGCATATATGTGCAGGGAAATTTCACACAAGTCTATGCACACACAAGTATGAAGGCGTAATCGTGAATAGACAAACACACTGTGGGTCTTACAAGGCGTAATCATTGGAGGCGAGCTTCTCCCCATATTTCACATGAGGATTAGTGAAAATCTGCATGGAACAAGGCGGCAAAAAAAACACCGCTACTTACACTTCAGAGGGTAACCGTATAAATCTTACCCTACAGAGGGTGAGGAGTTATATAAACTTTAAAAGGAGGGTAAAAGACGATGTAAACCTTACAAGGAGAAGATACAGCAGAGGACACACTAGAAGAATCCTAATCCCCGTTTGGGATGGAAACACACTGCAGCACTCACTAAACAGATTTAACTGGTGTGTGTGTGTGTGTGTGTGTGTGTGTGTGTTGTGGGACCGATGCATTCCGCTCAGGTGTATTAATAAAAAAGCAATTTTATCTTAATAAGGAGAAAAATATAACTACATGGTGAAAGACTGGTTGATGAATTGATTATTTAATCAATAGAAAACTATTATAGAACTATTTTATAATAGATTCAATAAATTCTCAAACAAATATGCTAAACATTGCTGTTTATACCTTCTCAAATGTATTGATTTGATGCTCTTTTCTGTTGTCTATAAATTGATCAGCATTTTTTATGACATTATGGTATAAACGTTTAGTTGAAAACATAATTGAGAGAATAAATGTAATACAAATAACCAGTTGCAGCCCTAATAATACATTAGATGTATTGTAGGACAGTAATTATTTCCACAAAATGTCCAATTATATTTCAAGACTTTTTTAAATTTTTTTTTAAAGACAACTTCTCATATCATGAGGGTGTGAAGCAAGCACCTATAGACAGATAAGTTGGGAGGAAAGAAGGAAAACGTGAGAAAGAAAATAAAGAGGAGACAAAGTGGTGGGTCGAGCACTTTAAAGTGGATTATTTTCTCCTCATCTGTTCCTGCAGAGGAAAACACTCCCGCTGTCAAGGAGCTGAATCGCTGCTGTTTCAATGACAGGGGAGATGAGGGGTGTGTGTGTGTGTGCGTGCATGCTGCTGAAATAAGTGGTGTGTGGCAGGTGCCAATCAGGACATTCTGTAATTCCCCTCCACTCAGCCTCGCCTGTGGTCAAGATGAGGGATTATCCCCTCACCACTCTATTTCTCTGCTTCGCCTCTCCACCTCCTCTATTTCAACACTCACCTCCTCCCTCCTTTTCTGCCCTGACCGCCAACACTTTCCCCCTTTCTTCTTGCGTTTTCTCCCTCTTCTTCAAAAAAAGGTGCCACGTGTAGCATTACAGGATCAATAAACCATTACCGCAGTAACTTTAAGACATTTGTATATTAACTGTAAACAAACAAGATATATCACTGAGGGGCTCTACAGCCTCTCCGACCTATGTAGCGCATGTCTTATTGTGGGCCACGGGGTTGGATTTGGTGGGTAATCTGCTGGACCGCCTAAGAGAGAGATTGCTTTATGGCATGAAATAGGAAGACGGATCCTATTCTTTCAGTGCGACTGGAGCTAAAGATTTGTGATTTTCAAAGACTGGCAGCTCTTGAAGTAAAAGAAAGGTTTATAGAAAGATGATTTATCCACTTCAGGAAAGAGAAAGGAAATACAAACACACACTAGTGGCTTTAAGTTGTAGGAAAGAAGCAAGGATTTCCTGAAAGCGGTGTAGTCATTTTAAAAAAGCCTGGATTTTACAATACCATTGGATAATATCATTTGTTTACAATAATTACACCAAGGTACTGTATATGTCAATAATTTGACAATGGCACACTGATGTTTCTAAATGCTATATGTAGCATCTTTAAGAATAGTCTGGCTAGCACACTGTCTGGTAAGCCTTCTTTGATCTTCTGGGCAAATAACACAGATAAGAACATCCCCATTGTGTATCTGCTAAGCACTGCCTCATGAAAATCCTCAGTATCATCATCATCTATTCCTATTTACAGTTCAAAGTGATTGGCAAGCAAAGGGATGTTGCCTATTTAAATGTGAGAACCAATCAGGACTCTTGCACCTTGTCTGAGGGAATCCTAGACCATGAATGGAGACTTCCAAGATTACAGCTCACTGTACTACACAGTCGCTGTTAGCCAAACTAATAATACACCTACTCCTTATTTCCGCACCCTTTCCTCTTTAGTCATCCATTCTTCTCCCTTTCCTTCTGTTCTCTACCTGCTTAATACTCTCTTCTTACAACCACTCCAACACTTCTCTGCAGATACTTACCTCATCCTCCTTCCCCATTTACCTCCTCCACATTATTTCTTTCCACCAATGCTAGGCTGGTTCCTATCTGTGTTTCTTTCTCTTGACAGCAGCTACACTGATATCCAAGCTAACTGGCGAGGTTTCCCTCTAGTCTGTTAGCATGATATTATAGTATTACCATTTTACAGGCTTTCGACAGCCCCAAGAGCCAAATATGTAAAAGCTGACAAGTGAGTGTGTGCTTGATTTTCTTGGTCTAGCAAAAAGGCAAAGTCAGAACATTTGGCAAACCACTCCAAACCAAAGCAATCACTCAATTGTCAATTCATTTGTAATTTAAACATTTACCCATTCAGTCTACTCCATACCGCACCCAGCTGTGCACAACTTCATCCATTCATCAACATTCATGTAGTCAAACATTCCTCCAGCAATCACCCGTCCACCCATGACCTTCCACACACTGCCATACCTTATCAGCCATGATCATGGACGACCCTCCATGGATGCCCAGGATGGGTATGAGCGTCTGCGAGGAAATAAAATCCAAAATCTGGGCGATGGCCTCCTGGTCGGTGCCATCCCCAAACACCACGCCATGGATCTTGGTCCCGGACATCAGGTCGCACATGTGGGTGATGATGCTTTTCGGGTCGGTCTCGTTGACCAGCAGTGTGACCACGTTGACGTCAATGGGGTCCTCCTTGCTCCACAACGCCCGGATGTCCCGGTCTGAGATGTAGCGTGTGCGCCCCAGGATCACCGCAATGTTCAGGACTGGCACTTTTTCAGAGGCGCTGCCAGTTCGCTGCTTTTGAGCCGCCACGGGGTCTGCAATCAAGGTCACCGCCACCAGGAGAGCCAGGGATAGCAGCACACTATTACTGCCATTGCTGCTGCTGCAACTGCTGCTCCTTCTACTCCTCCTCTTACTCCTTTTGCTGCTGAGGGACATACTGCCAAGCCACTTCATCCCCTGCATGGAAAGAGGATGAGGGAAACCAGACCAGATGAAGACAGATCAAAAAGAGAGAAGGAGATGGGAGAGAGAAGTGTGGAAAAGATGATGGCAGAAAAGAGAAAAAGACAGGGGAGATAAATTGTCAACGCACAGTTCTTTAAGCCCACACATTCAGGTTGAATCTTTCTTTTTCATTCCATTTCTTCTCAGTAACGTTATTAAACACATAAACCTTGTGGAGAGGGAGATGGCCTTGAGAGGAAGTTGCGGAGGGGTGAGAGAAAGAGAAGATGACTAACAAGTATATACTTTATGGTCACGACTGCAAGGATCAGATGATTCAGGAGCAAGCTGTGCTGTTCAGAAGAGGCAGGCATACACTTAAATAGTTTACAAGTGTAATATCTTGACACCTCAACCTGCAGCATAGATTGACGCATAACTTATAAGGGGGACGCTTTGAGTGACAGCAACAGACAAACTGTACTGAACATTCTTATATGCTTGGTTATATTACATTTCCTGCCTGTTGGTTAATTTAGTTATTCCCTTATTTGCAATCTTGTGCAGGACAATACTATTATGTGCATGTATGCATGTATAAGATTCGGTTTTAATATTATAGAGTTGAAGTCTACACTGATCAGCCATAACATTATGACCACCTGGGCACCCTGGTGGTCATAATGTTAGCCCCATAATGTTAGCCCCATACCATAGCCCCATACCAACGAACAGCGATGCACTGTGTGTTCTGACACCTTTCTATCAGAACCAGCATTAACTGTTTCAGCAGTTTGAGCTACAGTAGCTCGTCTGTTGGATCGGACCACACGGGCCAGCCTTCGCTCCCCACGTGCATCAGTGAGCCTTGGTACCCTGTCTCTGGTTCACTGCTTTTCCTTCCTTTGAGCACTTTTGATCTGTACTGACCACTGCAGACCGGGAACACCCAAAAATAACTGCGGTTTTGGAGATGCTCTGACTCTGAGCATTTTATCTAGTGCCATCGTCAGGTTAAAATTAAATTGTCCAATACTTTTGCTTATGAGTAAATACCTGCAAAATCATTCCCAGCCGACATTCCCATCAGCCTTAGCCATACTATGTGTTTAGAGCTACTTAGGTGAGTCAAACATGATGTTCTCACTGCCTTAATCCTACTGCAATGAACTTAGTATGATATTGACAGTAAATTTAAACTGCATAAAACTATAAAAAACAGTACTGGACATACAAATCTCTGATGTGTAAAGGGAATAAAACAAAAGCAAGAATAAATTCTGTGTTTAATAAACACTCGGTTCTCCTCTCTGGTGATTTCAGCTGTCACATTACCCATTCACCTCCAGTTTATCATATCCAGTGCCCAGGTTGAGCTCCTCCACTCCTCATTACAGGTTCTCTTCATCCTCCTCCACCACCACCAACAGTGCCTAGACTCCATCGACGGAGTTTCCTACATAAATCACAGATTCACCAACCCGTTCTAATACAATGACATTATGATTGGAATTTCCCCAATGTGGGACAAATAAAGGAATACCTTATCTTATCTTATCTTATAATGGGGTCTAATTACCAAACACCTTTCACATTACCCATCTTTATTGTGCACGTCAATTAAATATATACGTTGAGTTAAAATGAAGTCTCTCCTGATTGAAATATATATGACTCAACGTACAGTGGTGACACAGTAGTCAGACACTCACAGATCGTTTTGTAACCCAGAGGTAAGTAAGAAACAAATTATATAAAGGCTAAACCAGTGAATGCTATAAATAGCTTGGGATGCCACTGCGGGCCTCGTACTGGAGGGGGGGTTGGGTTAGAGGGGGTTTCCTCAGTTGTTACAAATGTTTGTGTGTTTGAGAGAGTGTGCATGTGTACATGAACGTGTGAACATGTGAATATGAGACAGTGATAATGTGAGTGCCAACAAGGTGCCAGCTGTTACTCTGCACCAACCAGAGCAGAGGGGCACAATGAAACCATCATCACACACAAATCCCAATCCACACCACCCCTCTCCCTGCAGAGATAACACTCACTGGACCTCCTCGGACATCCAGAGCATGAAACGTGGTTTGTGTTTGTGTGTGTGTG